GGCCATGGATTTTTCGGTGGCCCCTGCGCCGTTTTTGCCGGCGGCCGGCGCCGAGCCCGGTACGGCCTAGCCGTGGTGGATAAGGATGTTTGATAACTTCCTGGTGGCCGTGGGCGGCGGCTCATTTTCAGCTGCGCGCAAGGAGGCCATCCTTCTCACGTGCCTGGGGGCGGAGGGGCAGCGAATTTTCGAGTCCCTCCCAGCTGCTGTCAAGCAGGAAGGCGAGGACCAGTACGCCTTCACCAGGCGGCGCCTGGAGGCCCAGTTCGCTCCTCGCCAGAATGTGTGTGTGGAGCGTTACCGTTTCAGGAGCCGGGTGCAGCAAACTGAGGAAACAGTCCAGCAGTGGGTGTCGATACTGCGCCAGCTGGCCAGCTCCTGTGAATATGGTGACAGAACCGACGAGTTCATAAGGGACCAGGTCATCGAGCGTACTAACTCTTCCAAGTTGCGACAGAGACTTCTTATGGAGGGCTCTGACCTGACTTTGGAGCGCACCCTCACCATCAGTGACACACTTGAGTCGGCTGAACGTGAGGCTCGGGTGATGGAGGCACCAGCTGCTCCAGTTCCTGTTCAGGCTGTCCAGCAGCAGCAGCAGCAGCGTCGGCGGCCTCAGCGTGGTGGGGCCAGGACCCGTGCTGCTGGTCGGGTCTCCACTCATCAGCAACAGCCTCAGCAGCCGAGGCCGGCAGGGAGTAGCAGTAGCCTGTGCTGGGGGTGTGGGCGTGCTGGACACAGGCGAGGGGACCAGTGTTGCCCTGCTGTCAATGTGAAGTGCTCCAAATGTGGGAAAGTGAATCACTTTGCCCAGCACTGTGTCCAGAAGCGAGTGGTGTCCAGTGTTCAAGTGCTGGCAATCGGGGCATCACCAATGACTCTGACAGCCCAGGTGGAGGGGAGGGAGGTCGTGTTCACGGTAGACTCTGGCTCCCCAGTGTCCCTCCTCCCCAGACACCTGGCGCCTGGGGCCCTTGAGCCAGCAGCAGAGCGCCTGTGCTCATATGGGGGGAGTGTGTTAGATGTGTTAGGGGTAAAAAGTGTAAATGTGTCATGCAGGGGGGAGTGTCATGATGTAACTGTGTATGTTGTGCCGCATGGTCGTGCTCTGATGGGCCTGGACATGATGAAACTGTTCAAAGTGTGCATCATTGGTGACAGTGTATGCTCTGTGTCCACAGACCCGTCCTGTCATGCCAGCCCAGTCCCTTCGCCCGTCGGGCCAGCCGAACCTGCCAGCCCTCACGCCGGTCAACCTGCCTCACCGTCCGAACCTGCCTCTCCGACTGGACCTGCTTCTCCGTCAGGAGAGCAGCCAGCCATCCTGGGCTACCAGCACCGGGTGACCATCGATCCAGGGGTGGCGCCGGTGCGCCAGCCCCTGCGGAGGCTGCCCTTGGCAGTGCTGGACGAGGTGAGTGCCAGGCTCAAGGAGCTGGAGGAGCAAGGGATAATTGAAAAGGTCAGTGCATCTACCTGGGTCTCTCCTCTTGTGGTGGGAAGGAAGCGGGATAAGTCCATCCGCCTGTGTGTAGACATGAGGCGGGTCAACAAAGCTGTGATTACGGATGGCTACCCGCTCCCCAGGATCGAAGATGTCCTTGACCGCCTGAGTGGATCTCAGGTCTTTTCCAGGCTGGACTTAAAGGATGCATATCACCAGCTGGAGCTCCATCCTGACAGCAGAGACCTAACGACTTTTATAAGTCATCAGGGACTCTACCGGTTCCGGCGCGTCAACTTCGGCCTCGCGAGCGCCGGGCCGTGCTTCCAGAGAGTGATGGCGTCCATGCTGGAGGGGGTGCCAGGCGTGGAGGTATACCTGGACGACATCCTGGTCCACGCGCCGTCCCAGGCCGAGCACGACGCCCGTCTGAGGGAAGTGCTGCGGCGTTTCGATGCCCACAAGGTGCGGGTCAACTGGCCCAAGAGCGTGACGAATCAGAGCGAGCTCTCGTTTCTGGGATATCTGGTCTCGTCAGCTGGTGTCCGCATCGACCGGGAGCGGATCAGGCCGTTATTGGAGGCGGCCGAGCCGCGGGACGAAAAGAGCCTGCGCGCATTCCTCGGTGCCGTAGGGTATCATGCGCGGTTTCTGCCACGGTTCTCGGACGCAGTAGAGCCGCTGAGGGCCGCGCTCCGGGCGGACCAGTTCGAGTGGACGGCGGCGCTGTCCAGCGCGGTCCGCCGCGTCAAGGACGCGATAAGCGAAGCACCAGCACTGTGCATGTTCAGCACGGAGCTACGAACGGTGCTCTCCACTGACGCCAGTGACGTTGGCTGCGGTGCGTGCGTGACGCAAATGGGCGCCTCGGGTCAGCCCAGGGTCATTGCGTACGCCTCGAAGTCTTTCTCGGCGGCCGAACGCAACTACTCGGTAGTGGAGAAGGAGGCGCTGGCATGTGTATGGGCCGTCGAGAAGTTTCGCCACTACCTGTGGGGTCGGCGATTCACCCTCCGAACCGATCACCAGGCTCTTTGCACCATTTTCGGTGTCAAGGGCTCCAACCGCGTCGGCCGGCGAGTCGCGAGGTGGGAGGCCCGGCTGCTGGAGTTTGCGTTCGACGTCGAGTACGTCAGGTCGGAGCGGAACGGAGTGGCGGACGGCCTGTCCCGTCTGCCGGTCGCCGAGACCTGGTGGCCTGATGATGATTCTATCCAGATCGCGGCTCTGTCGTTAGCAGCAGCAGTCACGGAGGAGGAGCTGCGGGACGCCTCGGCGTCAGACGAGTGTCTGGACGTGATCCGGGGGTACCTCGCCGGACGGTGGCCTCGCCAGAGGGATGTCGATCCTCGGGCGACTGGTTTTTACCAGGTGAGAGACGAACTGTCCCAGCTCGGACCGCTGCTTTTCCGCGGCGAGCGACTGGTTGTGCCGGCGGCGCTGCGTGAGCGCGTCCTGAGGAACGCCCACGAGGGTCACCAAGGTGAGACAAGGACCAAGCAGCGCCTGCGCGCGCAGTTCTGGTGGCCGCGGCTGGACAAGGAGGTACGTGACCTCCTGCGGAGCTGCGAGGTGTGCACGCAGCATGACGGCCACGTGCGGCAGGAGCGGCCCCCTCTCCAGCCGATTCCTCTTCCGGACGGTCCGTGGCAGCGCCTCATGGTCGATGTGATTGGGCCCATGCAGGGGCCCCAGCACGAGCGGTACGGCATCGTCTTGTGCGACATGTTCAGCAGGTGGCCAGAGGTGGCGCTGTGTCGGGACGCGACGGCGGCGTCTATAATCAGCTTCCTGGAGGCGGTGTTCAGCCGCGAGGGGACGCCGTTGGAGCTGGTCTCCGACAACGGTCCAGCGTTCCGGTCTGCCCAACTCCGTGATTTTTTGACCCGACTGGGGGTCAAGCAGACTTTCAGCTCACCATACTCTCCGCAGTCCTGCGGCATGGTGGAGCGTCTGAATCGGACGGTAAAGGACGCCATCCAGTCGGCCCGGCTGGCCCGGGAGCCGCGCTCGGCGTACTTGAGGCGGTTCCTCACTGAGTACCGGGCTACCCCGCACGCAGGTACGGGAGAGACGCCGTTCCGGCTGATGAGGGGGCGGGAGGCACGGACGTTGCTGGACGTCGTGCCAGGTGAGGTTTCCTCGCCGGACACCGGCAGTGAGCTTCGTGCGCGACACGAAAAGTATCAGGCGGCCTACAAAGCCAGATATGACCGGGGGTTGACTGGCGCCCCGCGCTGGCGCGTCGGCGACTGGGTTCGGGTCCGACAGCCGGTGAGTGGGCGTGTGGAGGGCCAGAGGGCCGTGCAGATCAGCCGGAGGACTGGCCCGGTAAGTTACCGGCTCACCAGCGGCGAGCGTGTCCACGCTAGACGCTTGGTGCCCGGCCGGCCAGAAGGTGAGGACGCGGCCGCGCCGCGGGGTGGTCCCGGCGGTGGTGCTAATCCAGTTCCTGAGCCCCGCCCCACGCCAGTGCGCACCCGCTCCTCGGCACTCAGAAGTCCTGCTCACAGCCGCTGTCCAACCCCAAAGTGTACCGCCCCGGCGGGTGAGCCAGGGCCCCGCCGTAGCAGGCGGGGTCGCAGAGGCCCAGATCGGTTCACTCCGGGCGAGTAGCGTTAGGATTGGGCTATCATCGTAAGTTACGTTTGATAGCTGTGAGTGTAATGGTTTCCGCGGATAGTGGGAGGCTTAAGAAGCGGGAGTGTTTCCCATTAAAGAGAGGGGTGGTGTTGTGGCCGGAACTAATTTAGTGGCGCTGACCGCGCAGCCGATTGGCGCGGACGCGCAATTATCGTTTGAGTTTTACGCCTTTGTTGATAGTGTTGGTCGTTGCGGTGATTATGTTTTGATATTACGATCGACACTTAGTTAGTAATATGTTTGGTTCGAAATGGCTTTGTTCAGTTTCGATCCTTTATTTCGCATAATCTGTTCACCCCCTCTCTTTATGATTGTCAACTGTTTTGGGTCGTAAGGACAAAGAGGTGTCGAGTCACCTCTAGGTCTTCTTCCGTTCTTGACCTTGGCCGAGATAGCGCCATGCGTGTCAGGTGTTTTTCTGTTGTGTGTGTGGGGGAATAAACCGCAAGTGAGGCGGACGCAGGTTTGTCCAAACCTCCCCCACCCCGAGGGCACAACAGTAGCGACCTGACTAGCATGGCAGCGACCAGACTTACATGGTGGCGAGTGGCGACCATACTTACATGGTGGGGTTACATGGTGGCGACCTGACTTACATGATACCGACCTGACTAACATGGTGGTGACCAAACTTAGCGACCTAACTAACATGATGGCGACCTGGCTTCTATGGTAGCGACCATACTTACACGGTAGCAACCATGCTTACACGTTAGCGACCATACTTATAGGGTAGCGACCATGCTTACATGGTAGCAGCGACCATGCTTACATGGTAGCGGACCTGACTTACATGGTAGCGACCATGCTTACATGGTGGCGACCTGACTTACATGGTGGCGACCTGACTTACATGGTGGCGACCTGACTTACATGGTGGCGACCAGACTTACATGGTGGCGACCATACTTACATGGTGGCGACCCACGACTGGTCGTAATCGTTGGCGTCTCGGTCCGGGCTGGGACACATTCCCTGGATGGTTCTGGCCAGCTGCGTCACTGCGGAGAGCAGAACAGACACACAGTCACTGGTGAACTGCAAGCTGCGCTGGGCCTGGAACTAGCAGCTGCTTGATAATTTTACATGGGTTATCCGCGTAAGTCATTGAGTTTAAATCTAAGTTATGGCAAAACAGGATAGCACAGTTCCTGACGTCTTTCCGTCTTGAGTCATTCGACGTGGAATGCCTAGGGCAGGGGTCGGCAAATGGTCTGGCATGTCCCTTTGGAGCGCAACGGTCAAAAAGGAATGCACGCCATCTTGGCGGGGACGGACGTGCCTCAGTGGTGCTCCTCAGTTACAACCTTTTTCGCTGGATTTTGGCGGTGACCGAGTGGAGCTTGTGGTTCATGACACGTTTTAGGTCATGGTCGATGTTTTTGCATTAGCTTTGCTTCAGTAGCATGTGCACGGGACCGGTAATAAGCGTTTTAGTGCCGGTCCTGTTTGAAGGCTGACCCCGCCGCAAGGTATCATGGCGGGTCACGGACGGCACAACGAAGGGCGCGGCACCGGCGACGGAGCTGGGTTGACTTTGCCCGGCTGTTCAGTGGCGGAACGGTCGGCAAGAGGAAAGGCCACGCGTGCGGCCCGAGTTCGAGACCGCGCGCTGGGCGCGCTTTTCTTGGCGCTGCGTGCTGCGGGTATGTTGTCTGCTGCTGGCTGCTGATACACGGCCTTGGTGGCTGGCTGCTGGTACAGGTGGTGGCGCCACCTGTCACCCCTTTCTGGGCTAAAAGTTTAGCTACACTAAGTTTAGCTACACTATCAGTGGTCTTCCAGGAAATTACGTGCGGGATCTGCAGACCCGTAATTGCGAGACTCCCTTGATATCGGTTTCTGCGATTTTCCAAAATTTCCGTGAATTATTGTATGTAGGGGAGAGTGGGGTAATTTGGCCGCTTTTTTAGAAAACGATGTAACTAAAAATCGACAACACATTTCTGCATTTTCTCAACGCTGACAGGTGTGGCATACATTTTACTTTCTTGGACTGTAAACTTGAAATGATTGAGTAACTACTTATATTGAAATTGTGGCGTATTACAAAGGTCTGCATAGCGGCCAAATTACCCCACTAGCTGGGTTATTTGGCCGGGGGTGTGGGGCAATTTGGCCGGTGCTAGTTTGAGGCCATGATTTTTGTTATAGGCGAGTCAGCTTCACATTCAGCAATGACGCGTGTCCTACGACGCATTTGAAGCATTTTGGAGGTTGACTCAGCCGTCACAGGGGTCGAAAATAGTCAAAAGAGCTGCTCTAGATGCGATGACAGTTTGTTACGAATAACTTTTGAAACAGGGGCGGATCCAAGGGGGGGGTCACATGGGTCATGGCCCCCCCCCCTTGAGGCCCGGGGCCCAAAGACCTGCCAGGGGCACCACCGGCCTATCAGGGGTATCACAGTCCTGACAGGGGCACCACAGGACCGCCAGGGGCACCACAGGCCTAGCAGGGACACCACGGGCCTGGTGCCCCTGGGCCCTGACAGGACTGTAACGCCCTTGACAAGCCTGAAGTGTCCCCGGCAGGCACGTGGTGCCCCTGACAGGCCTGAGGCGCCCCTGCAAGGCTGGTGGTGCCCCTGGCAGGCCTGTGGTGTCCATGGCAGGACTGTGGTGCCCTTGCTAGGCCTCTGGTGCCCCTGACAGGCTTGTAATGCCCCTGGAAGGACTGTGGTGCCCCATGGGCCCTGACAAGCCTGAGGTGCCCCTGACAGGCCAGTGGTGCCCTTGCTAGGCCTGTGGTGCCCCTGGCAGGCCTCTGGTGCCCCTGACAGGCTTGCGGTGCCCTTGGAAGGACTGTGGTGTCCCTGGGCCCTGACAAGCCTAAGGTGCCCCTGACAGGCCCGTGGTGCCCTTGTTAGGCCTGTGGTGCCCCTGGCAGGCCTCTGGTGCCCTTGCTAGGCCGCTGGTGCCCCTGGCAGGCCTCTGGTGCCCTTGCTAAGCCGCTGGTACCACTGCGCCCGGAGAGGACTGGTGTCCCTGAAAAGTCTGAAGTGCCCCTCGGCAGGCCCAAGGTGCCCCTGCGAGGCCGGTGGTGCCCCTGGCAGACCTCTGGTGCCCCTGGCAGGTCTGTGGTGCCCCTGGCAGGTCTGTGGTGCCCCTGGCAGGTCTGTGGCGCCCCTGGCAGACCTGTGTTGACTGGTGCCCCTGCTAGGTCGCTGGTGCCCCTCACAGACCTGTGGTGCCCCTGGGCCTTGACAAGCCTGAGATGCCTGGCTAGGACAGGCTCGTGGTGCCCCTGATAGACCAGTGGTGCCCTTGCTAGGCCTGTAGTGCCCCTGGCAGGCCTCTGGTGCCCCTGCTACCCCTGCGCCCGGAGAGGACTATGGTGCCCCTGAAAAGCCTGAAGTGCCCCTCGACAGGCCCGTGGTGCCCCTGGGCCCTGACAGGCCCAAGTTACCCCTGCGAGGTCGGTGGTGCTCCTGGCAGGCCTCTGGTGCCCCTGGCAGGTCTGTGGTGCCCCTGGCAGGCCTGTGTTGACTGGTGCCCCTGCTAGGCCGCTGGTGCCCCTCACAGGCCTGCGGTGTCCCTGGAAGGACTGTGGTGCCCCTGCCCCTAGGGGTGCTCATGGGCCCAACAGGCCCGTTGTGCCCCTGACAGGCCTGTCGTGTATACTTGCTAGACCTGTGGTGCCCCTGCTTCATGGCAGGCCTGTGGTGCCCCTGGCGGGCCTGTGGCGCTCCTACAAGGCCGTAGGTGCCCCTGACAGGTTTGTGGTGTCCCTGGAAGGACTTTGGTGCCCCTGACAAGCCTGAAGTGTCAAGGACAGACCCTTTAGACGCCAGGGTCAAGTTCGTCGGACTGACAACGATTTGCTTACCTGATAACGTTCCTGGTAAGTACTCACTACTCAGCGTCCACAACATATATACACATAGCACATTCATATATACTTGCTTACAATTGGTAAATGTGGTTGTGGCTAAGAGTTAAGATACTGACTAAAAAAAAAAAAAAAAAAAAAATGAAAATGGGGGCACCACCAAAATGAAGTGGACGAAATCCGTTGAGTTTTTAATTTTGGGTATAGGTAGGGGCACCACTTCGATTCATGACCCTCCCCTTGGAGTTTTCCTGGATCCGCCCCTGTTTTGAAATAATCAAGTTAGGCCAAAACTAAAAGTACCATCGTAATTCTCTCGTCATTCCGCATCGAAACATGTGTGTGTTGACCTCGAGAGGTCAAGGTCAAGGTCAAGATCAAGGTTAGCTTCAGGTCACGTTACCTCAGGTCGCTTGACCTCAAGGTTACGTGAGTTCAAGGTCATCATGTATATGATTCGATGCGCCTTGACGAGCTGAACACAATGAGAACATTTGCACGGCTGTATCTTTTTTCTGTAAGTATTTATTAGTAAAAAAGCGTTAGGTAATCTTTGATGACGTCACATGCCCTTACAGCTGTCCAATAGGAAATATGGCCTCAAGGTAGTCAAAGTTGGTCATGAATTATGTCCTTTATGGTATAATTGACCATGACAACTCAGCTGACCCAGCATAGTGACTGAGCGCACCGGCCAAGCTGCCCCGCTAGTCCCGGCCAAATAACCCCACATTGCCATTCTGAAAATGTTTGTCTATAAAGTCGTCATGGCTGTACAGAACTAGATGAAATTGCTCTTGGAACCGCTGAACACCCTCAAAAATGGCGCTATAATGTTCGAATTCGTTTACAGCCCAAATACTACATGCTATACAAATTTTTAAACGGAAGTAAAAGTTACCATTTTCTAACGTAATTCACCATTTACGAGTATTAATTTTGAATAAAACTAAGAGGGGGAAAGTTTTGACATTTGTTCTCGAGTTAGTTCTGCCGATGACAAATAAATAGAGACTAAAGTTATTTCATTCACTTTTATCAGCTTTCGTACAGGTGGGGGCGGCCAATTTACACCACCGGCCAAATTAACCCACTCTCCCCTACGTTGACGTAATAATAACAACTAATGCATGGTTTCGTAACAAATACTTAAGCTTGCCATTTACAATACTATTTTATCCATAAATAACCTGTTTTGTCAATAAATTATCAATAACACATGAAAATTAAAGAAACAATTATTAATTACGTCACTTGGATTCATACGGTGCGCCACCAAGTGCGCCAACAACTGTCTCATATCACGCAATCTCGCAGATTCTGCAAAAAAGTTCGCAGCTTTGAACTTTATATCGGTACGGAACATCCTGACCGTCCTGACTATCAGGCATTTCCTGTACTGAACTTCCGGGATTTCCTTGACTGAATCTGCGTGACCCCAGTGTAGCCGACCCTGTGTATTTCCTATCTGCTGAACTTCAGCAGCGTACCGATTTTAAAACCCGCAAACTCGCAGATCACGCACGTAATTTCTGGACGATCACGCATAGTGTAGCTCGGCCTTTATGGCTGTGGCACGCAGCTGCGCGCCATCTGGCTCGCAGCTGCGCGCCATCGCGGCCCCCTGTCGGCCGGTGCCGGCTCGCCACGTCGCGTCGGTCCCGGCGCCCCAGCGAGGACGACGCTCTGGACCTTCCACTACGTTCGGACGGGTCGCTTCCGTCGAACCCGCATCCGCTACGACGCTAAGTCGGTGGCGACCTACCAGAGCTGCAGGCTAAGGCTGAGTGGTGATATCGAACTCAAACCAAGGCCAGCACCGGCTCGAACCGGTGCCCGAGTCCGTCACGGTCGTCAAGTTAGATGTAAGTGAATCCTAATCTATAATCTAAGATTCGGAATCAGGTGAGCCCCTACGATTTGGACCAAACTTGGTCAGTGGATAGTACGTAACGTCCTGATTACGATGCACCCAAAATTTAAGCTCGGCCCGCCATATTTACGAGGTTTACGGATGTTTGAATTTCAAGGTCATTCGGGAGAGCCCCTACGATTTCCGTCAAAATTTGTGTACGGACACTCTAGATGCTCCTCGTTACGAATATCACAAAATTTAAGCTCGGCCCGCCATATTTACGAAGTTACGGAGGTTTGAATTTCAAGGTCATTT